CCCCGGCTGAACTGGGTATAAGGTAGCTAAGTTTGCTTCAGGGCGTCTTGTCGAGGTTGTCGCGGCCGGGATCACGCAAGCTGTGGCCTCCCCCGACCCCATACCCTCTTTGCATATACATTCTGTAAGATTACTTTGTGCGGTTTACACCCTTCGCCGTCTCAGCATCCCTCGGCTCGTCTTCGCTCCTTTGCCAGCAGGCAAACTACCCCCCCAACTTTCAGGCTCCCTAATGTATGCGGAACTACTATACGGAATTCCAAGTTCGGCCGGGACGGAGTTGCCACCGTCAGGGGCGTTGGTTTCGGGAGTTACCCCTTTCGTGGGGGGGTTTGAAAGAGGGTACCATGGGGTTTCCGCTCGTCCCTATAATAATAAGTCTGCGCGTTGAAACTGCTTAACAAGACACGTAAGAGGCGAACACGCGTGATCCTAATTAGAACGCGTCCTTCTTCGAAGTGCCAGTCTCCCGAGTAGACCCTTGTTCCAGGATCCTTCGCCGTATCCGACGGCAGGCCCGAGGGGGATGATTTTCAAGTTATTCAAATAGGATGGGAAGATTCGATACCACCCAGGAAACTCGTCGATTTATTTTCAACGGCAAGATCCCCGGAAGTCTTGAAAATCCTTAAAAAGGAAAAAAAAAACAAGCGTGTCTTTGAGTCGGTAAAGGGGTACGGAAAAAGCGTGGCGAACGACCGGATCGTCAGCGCCCATTCCTTTAGCTTACTTTCACGGAAGCGACAGAAGGCACGCCGCTTACGAATCGTCACATTAGGCGGCGAAAACGTCGTAGCGCGGGTGGCTATTGTGCACGCGACATTTTTCGTTCATTGTGAACGACGGGACACCGACGTCGCCGGGCGTCGTTACGATCATACCGATTGGCTGGATTTTGGTTCCTGCTTTTTTTTTCTTTAACCTCGATCCCCTCTTTTCTTCCTCCGCCAAACGGGAGGCCGATGGAAGGAAAGGAAAACTTTTCGAGGAACTCCTTATCGCGCGCAACTACGTGGCAGGAGTTTCTGCTGCGCGAATCGCGATAGCGACGTGGCTCCGTAGCTTTGACGCGAGTATACGTGTACGTGAATCGTGGGACGCTGGCTTGTCAGTGGCACTTGCACGGCACTTGCACGGCACGGTGGCACGCGACACAAAGCGACGTGCGGGATCATTAGGAATTCAGAGGGTGGAATGGTGCAGCCATTGCGCATGATAATTATCGTGAAGAAAAGCAAAAGACGGGAGAGATTACAGGATGTCCGGAGTCGGGAGATGAGGAGGAGAGGCACGAGAAGACACCCCTTGTGGCGGTCAATCCGTTTCTGTATATACGACGTACAGTCAATTGGCTGAACAAATACTTTCAGATCACAGTCTATAAGTAAATAAGGCTGCTAGACCTCGATTAATACCTATAACTAAATATAGATATTATCACAGTATATCGTTACTGTAAAATCAAATAATTGTTTAATATCGTCCGAATATTAGGGGAAAAAGCCTATAAGGATGGATGAGATGGTAATTGGCAGAGAAAACCGAGAAAAAGGTTACTTCCTTCCGTTTTGTCAAAAATACTTCCAAATCACAGTGTATAAGTAAATGAGGCTGGCAGACCTCCGTTAATGCCTACAACTAAATACACATATTATTACAGTATGTCGTTACTGTAAAATCCAATAATCCTTTGATATCGACCGAAAAAAAAAATCCCATAAGGGTGGATGAGATGGTAATTGGCAGAGAAAACCGAGAAAAAGGTTACTTCCTTCCGTTTTGTCAAAAATAATTCCAAATCACAGTGTATAAGTAAATGAGGCTGGCAGACCTCCATTAATGTCTACAACTAAATATAAATATTATTACAGTATGTCGTTACTGTGAAATCCAATAATCCTTTGATATCGACCGAAAAAAAAAATCCCATAAGGGTGGATGAGATGGTAATCGGCAGAGGAAACCGAGGAAAGGGTTACTTCCTTCCGTTTTGTAAAACGGTATCTGTTCGCCGAAGTGGTCGGCACCCTTTCATCCCTTGACACGATAAAAACCATCCGAATTACGAAGGATCGTCCATATCCTGGCGGTGGCCGCTTTGTACTTGCCGGCGGAAGGATCTGAGGATCTTCCACTTTTAATTTTAAACACAGCTAATTATGATTTACGGCAACATCGACGCAACATCCTGATCGGGACGGGAGATACAGCCGGGATATTCAAATGTGATGAATATTGCTCGGCGCAACAAACGGCACAAGCCTTAGCGAGGGCGGTGGGGATAGGGGGAGGGAGAGGGGGAGAGGACGATAAGGAAAAGAAAGTAAAAGTGTAATATGAAGAAGAGGCATAAAGGAGAGTGGGAGGTTGAGGGTGGGTTTCGAAGGCGGCGACCGCCTTGGTGATTCCTAGTAGTTCATTCGGTATGCAAGATGAACACTTTGCCTCGTACAGCGCATCCTTTCCCATCCGTAAGGATATCTCCTTACGTCGGGGTTCCTTTGATATCAATCGAACGGGATAACACGTTGCGTCATATTTGCGACTCGTCAATAGTCATGGACCTATTAGGTATATAAATAGTCAATAGGTGTACGGTCATTGACTGAACCGTTATATAAAACCGTACGGTGAAGAGAGCGAAATTTTATCGTAAAAACTGCGACAGCCATGCTGGATACGTTTTTTGAAAGATTTATATCGAAGGTTACCTTATCGGAGCGTTTCTTAGTAGGAGTCGTAGTGCCATTAGGTCGAGCGTTCATGTCTGTCTCACTGGCCATCCGGTTGAACCGTTGCATCCGTTCGCGAACACTTAGCTGCTCGGCCGATCCGGTATTGGCCACGTCCTCCTGTATATACAACTGTTTTCCTATTCGTTCTCAAGGCAGGGAGGAAGACGAGCCACAACTGAATAGCGTGCACTAACCGATACCATTGACCATAGCAATACAGACGGATGGACAGAGTATGCTAAGAGGATCTAAGGACGGTGCGAAGACGTGGACCAAGTTCAATATTCACTACACTAAATGGTAGATGATGATCCTAGAGGTCGACGGATGTGTACAGGATGATAGAGTGCGGCGCTACATGATGAAGGAAGGTGCGAAGAGGAGCAGGTAGTGCAGGTTGAAAGTTTCTAGGATGCAGTAAGCCAGACAAGTACCAGGATCCTACAGATTCATCTTGGTTGGTCGTACGAAAGCCAGGAGTCTACAATACATGCCAAAATAAAATAATACAGAGGATGTATAGAGAAAACCAAAGCTTAACCCTTTGACGATTGAAAGCATGTTTTTTGGGTGATAAAAGAAAAAGTCACTACCTTCATCACGTTGTCAGTGGTTGGTTTCATTTTATCCATGTTGATGTTCTCTTTGTTCTCAAGCCGTAGTTTATCCTGGCTCTTACGACGTGGTGGCACTGGGGGAGATGAGACCTGGCTGGCATCCTCTTCGACAACCTCTTCAGGATCCTGCTTGGAATTTTCTTCAGTCGTTTCCTCCTTATCGACATTTTCACTTGCTCCGACAGGGTAAAGAGGCTCGTCCGGATAACGTGGAACTGGGGATGAGGGGCTTGTAGGACTCAAGGGTGCAGGAGGTGGTGGACGATACGGTGGTGGTTCTCGTAGCGGGGATACCGGAGTTGCTAGGTCAGGGGTTGCCACGCTGGAGTCTTGTTGAAACGGGGCAGATGGAACTGGGGATGATAGCACGAGTGGTCCTTGACGATACTTTTTCTTGAGGACGAGGTACTTCTCACCCTATCATTGACAATCACAATCAGTTCACTGGTTATCGATTATTGAAGTAGGAGCGACTTGCACACGATTCTATCGAATAAAACACTGAGGTCAGGATGAGTATTTAATTACTGGGATAATTATAATTCATTAATACACTATTTACCGGAGCAATATTGAAAACACTATTTTTATGATGCACACGTTAATTGATAAAAAATAATTAAACACAAAATTTCACGAAAATTTAGTCTGATTTTTTAAAATTTATATCGATAATAGGAAATTTTTTAAATTTCGAAAATTCGCAACGCGGCCTAATGATACGAAGAATTGCCATGAAAAATTTCAAACTCCCGGGTTCGTTTGACGTGTTGGCGATCTGGCAACGGCGCACGGCGTGTGCAACAAGTCGCTCCTGTCAGAGAGAACAAATGCGACGTGGGTACCTACCTCCTCGTTTTTTATGGTGGCCAGGGTATTTACATACTCTTTAAACTTATTCCGCGCCTCGACTGAAAGTAAAATATTGCATTGCACCGTGCTATTTATACGCATTGCTCGCGAGCTGCCCTGACTCGCGGTGTAGAGCAACTCGCGAGAGCTGCAATGTTGCGGGCATGTTTACCGCATAGCGGGCCGTTGAGGTCACGCACGACACGACCAGACGGCAGACAGTCGCGGACACGCGCCGATCGAGGCATCACGACCTACCTCGCGTCTCCGGGTCCGTCAGGAACTTCTTAAAGTGCTTCACCACGTCGTGATTGCGCGCCGAGCCACCGTTTTCCAGTAGATATTTACGAATTTCTTCGAGAGACAGCTCACTGGGCGTCGCCATCTTGGCACTACTGATGGAACGCTAGCGCCACTCGCGGACATCCCGGTACTACTCTCAGCTCTGTCGATTATACCACCGTCGGAGCAGAGCCTCGCCTTTCCCTGTTGCGTTGCGTTACACGCGTGCCGTATAGAAAACAATGTTGCATCGCGATGAGAAATTGCGACAGGCGACGTATTGTGCACCTTGTATACATGAGAAACGTGAAATTAGATATCGTTAAGCAGCCAAGCCGTGCCTTAATATTGGATTTATGGAAAGAAGGAAGAAAAAAATGAAGAAGAAAGTGAAGAAAAAAACGGTTAGCTATTCAAAACTAAATCCTCCATTGGTAGATTCCAATAGAAGTATTACCACTTGCTGATTTATTCCCGTCACTTTGCGAAGCACGAGTTGCAACTTAATCGTGGCGATGTATATATTGACAGTACAGGAAGAGGTGAAAATTTATTCGACACCTTTCGCCACGTTTAAATTCACAGGGCCCGATAAAAAGAATGCAAATACGTACATTTTGACGTTGTTAATGGATGCATTGTCTCGTATCGATATCGAATATTGAATCGAATAGATCGCAGCATGTACACGAGACTTGCAAAAATCTCAACTCTCACCCTTCACATCTGTCGCTAGGCTTTGCTTTTCTGGCTCCTTTTTCACCCTCTTTCCCTCATCGGAACGAACTCCAGTAGCAACAGCAGCTTCAGCAGAAAATCGCAATCTGTCCCCGCCAGCCGTTTGCTACGACTCGACGCACGCCTCTATATTTATTCAACGCGCAATTACTAACCGGCGCAATAAATTCACGTTTAATTTACAACTGGCAATATTTTCCACAGTAGCCAACGCAATGGCGACAGAAGAAGCCGAAGATTCCAGCAGCACAGACATTGAGAATTGGTATAGCAGTGCCTATTCCCGAAACTCAGTACAATTTTGTACCTCGTTTGAATGGCACTGAGTAGATTGCAAGATCCCATTTTGGTATAAAAATTGTTGCACTCGTTACAATGGCTTGTAATTAAGAAAATGACCTTACTAATCATCACTGTACCATGCCAAGTATAAGCCAAAGGGATGCACGTGCGTGCAGCACGCTCGTCGGCGTTAGAAAAGAAGAGTATGACGCCACGGCGTAAAAGAGTGCATGTGCAAATTTCCTTGGGTGAGTAAACGAACCGGATGTTACGTCGGTATACCTTTGTAATTAAATACTTTTTATCGAGTTACTTTAATAGAGCGTCAATTAACGATTTGCATGAATCGTTAGAATTTTCATTCTGTATTACCATAAGATTTCCTCTGGGCGTTAATCTATATATATATATATATATATATATATATATATATATATATTTTTTTTTAGACGAAGGAGAATTTTTGGTAAATTAAATAATTACGGAATCTCAAGGGACTGACAATGAGATTGATATACGTGTCCACGTTCTGTGAAGATTCGTAAGAGGAATAAAAACGTGACGTAGAGGTCGCGTCGAGTTCACGTGAGATGAGCGGCCGTAGTCAAAGTACAAAGGCCCCGGCGACGCCCTGCGTTCCCGTAGGTGCATCCCCGATATCATCTACCCGTGTTTCTCTGCATTATGTTTATGCCTGTGCATACATAAAAATGCCTTCCAAGTTTCCAGCCGCACTTATCCACAGCCCACGTGTGTGATGCACAGCGCAGCGACGCACGTGCTGCGTCCAGCCGCGAGATACGAGATTTAAAACTGCATGGTTTTGTGTAAATCCTGGCCTCTACTTTCCTCGAAGAAGAAAAGGAAAGCCCCATCCAGGAATTGGGACAGATGAGATGAAATCGCAGGAATCAGGGAATCCTAATAGGAAAAGGAACAGCGATGCATCCTTAAATTTTTGTCTCTTCTCCATCTGTCGTATCTTCATATACATTACGTGGTTTTCTTGTATCTTCAGAGCCGCTTCCTATCCTCCATCATCATCGTCCTCGTCCGTACACACCGAAAGGGGTATCTTTCGAGAGTCCTCTGGAATGCAAGGCGTCCCCCACAACGAAGCCCAAGCATTAGCGCCGTCTAGCTTTTTGCCAAGGAATTCCAGGGCGACATAAACTCTCGCGTGCGTGCGCGGCCCCAGAAATACACGGGCCGCATATGCGCCGGGTAGCCGGCAAAAAATTGGATCTATATCGCCGGCTCCTACCATCCTTGGCCAAGGTAGAGTCGCGTGTAGCAGTAAATTCGACAAGGGCTGTGATTGGGGATACGTTTGTTGGCTATACTTTTTGTTGGGGGAATGTATCAAGGATGTGAAACATATATGAGTCTCTTAGGAACTGTTACTCATCCGGGTACCATTCTCTCTCAATTTCATTTGATCCTATGATGTACACTCCAGTTCTCAAAGGTATTCAAAGAAACTATTAATCGGTCAATTAATTTTAAACTTCTTTTTTTTTACTCCCAACATTTTCTTACACTGCCCCGTTAGGCTTCCTAGCTTTTATTTATATTACCGACAATTCTTTCCAGACGTGCGGCAAAGGTCCTTTCAAAAGATCCAGGATCGCGAGGACGCGTTCGACAGGCATTATATATTATCGCATTATTGACGGCTGTGTCATCGCGAACCGAGGTAGTGCGCAGAATACACAAAGTCGAGGAGTCAGCCAACACTTGAGTTCCTGTGTCGAGAGGAAAGCCACCGATCCGGAAGATGGGAAGAGAGTCGAGTCGATCCTGGGTAACGACACGATGCTGCTACCCATGAACGTAGAATACAGTGATAGTACAGAAATGGTCAAAGAGATAAGAATATACGGAAAAAAAGTACTTCTCTTTGGCAACGTATTTCCGTGAAATCGAAACGAAAATAACAAAGCATGTCGTCACCTCTGCGATTAGCTGTTTCGATTCCAAAAAATCTGATAAGTGTCCAGATTTGATATATCGATATCAAAACATATATAGTATACATATATGTAACTCTGATGAAAACTGTCAAAATTCATTGACAGTTCACATACGTACCTAAGGCCGTTGACAGAAATATATAAGAGAGAACAAATAATAATTTGACGGATATTAACAAATGAAAAGTCAAAGAGTCACTGTCGCACGTGTGTCGATCACGAGGTATTAACAGGTCGATATCGGTAGGTACGAACCCCTCGTGAATCCTTTATAATTCCCCTATCTTTTTTTCCACGTGTCTACCTAGGCCAGATCCATCGGGGAAGTCCATGGAGCCAGAGTGCAGTGGAAGCCAACGTAACACTGCAGCCATTATAAGACACGTAGAGGATCGGGCCGATGGAGTCGGGCGCAAATAGAGTCTATTGGAAAAATGAAGAAAGAAAGGAAGCCCAGCAAATGGATGATTAGCAGTATATCCGGAGGACCGCCTCTCTCGCGGAAAACCCCACCCGTGCAGATGATCGCGATGATCGCAGGCGGGGCCGTATACTCCTAGCGCCAGGTTCAACGGTAGGGAAGTGGCTCCCGGTTGTCGGCATACGTGGAGCACATGCAAGGTGGATTCGTGCACGTGCGTGTGGACGTGCTGCGCAAAGAGGGTACGTAGCCCGATGGGTTTAGGTGTCGCAATGGAGGGAAGGTAGACAGTGAGGCAGCCAGCTACCGTGAACATAGCCAGTGACCTGGTGGAGGTAGTCAGGCAGACAGCCCAGTCGGCCAAGTCAGGCATACGGAAACCCCAGGACACACGTGGCTCCTCAGCAGTGGCTGGTCAGCAGTGCAAGGGACGCGGTGAGCGACGCCGACGCAGCCCGCACGCGCGTTCAAACGACCCCGCGAGTTGCGCGAAACTCCAGGAACTCCATCCTGCCAAAGGGGACTATTACCATCCTGGATATAAGCGAGGCTCGTCGCTGGTGCCTGGTGCTCCTGATATCGACGTCTCGTCCCACGGGGTCCGAGTAGTTGGTGATACCGATAGATAAATAGGTAAAGAAGAAGCGCAGGAAGAAGACCTCAGAAACAGGAAGTCTTGACTCACCAGGACGCGCCTCTCTGCCTCCCGAAGGAGAGTCTTCCTCGAGGCAGGGGCAAGATTTTGGCGCCACCTCCAAGCTCCGTCTATGGACTAGGCCAGACTTACGCCTTGCGGCCACTCTGCAGTTCACCCTTCTCCACCTCCTGGATCACCTCCTGGATCTCCTCGAGCGCCACCACTCCCCGCCTCCGAGCATTCTCCCTCTGATGCTGCGACTCTGCCTCTCTCGAGCTCTGAACTAACCTAACCCGTGGCCAACTTCATTCCACGCCAACTGACCACCACCGACGGCTCTAGCCCGTGGCCATCCTACGAGCGAGTCCTTCGGGTCCTTGGTTCTCCTTGCCGGGTCAATTGCACCGGGTGGTACAGTGCCTGGGGATATTTATACTGAGGAGAGTACAGGCTAACTCGGCTGACGTTTCCTTTGTAATTTCGTTATTCGCGAGTGACGACAGTGACAGTGCGTGATAAAATAAACGGCTTTGAGAACGCGCCGAGAGAATATTTATTCCGTAATCGGGAAAAGAGCGCCGGAAGCGGAAATTCTTCGAGTATTCCTGAACGGTTCACCCGGACGGCTCGCTGCTCAGGAATATGGACATGTCCGAAGATTGCTGGGAGCACGTGGGTTTGCTTCAGGAGGTCTCCAACTCGGATCCGCCTCCGCCGCCACCCGCCCCTGATTTTCTTATTCAGCAACAGGAGGTGAGTCTTTTTTTTTTTTTTTTTTTTTTTTTTTTTTTTTCGAGTAAATCGGTACAAGTCTAAATTGTCATTTTATAAATTTCACGATATTTTTCAAATATTGCGTAATACCTAGAAAGAAATTTTCCATCGTTACCTCACTGACCAAACAACTATAACCAATTTCCAGTACAATTATCTGAATCTTATCTTCTGTCACTTTGACATTTTTTTTTTTTTAACGATAGTCGCTTCCAGCGATTAGAAAGGAACCGGAAGTCACTTTAAGGTATTATCGTCATGAATCAGAGGTTAGAACTGCGGAAAAGAAAGTGTCTCCGAATCTATCCCACGATCCTTGATCGATCGCGGTACAGATAATGTCGATTTCTTATTGGAATTATTAACTGTTACGTAGTCAGGTGGGATTATGGGGGAAGCGTAATTCCGCATAGCTCTACGGGCAACTAATTGACTCGTCGCGCGCATTGAAACTCCTTTTGAATCTTTCAAGGAATACTGGTGCAGATAGTGTAATTAGGTATTTAGATATAGTTATAGGTTGGTACTTTGGTATTTCCTTTGCTATAACAGGATTCCGCGGTGTTCTCCTGCCGGTTGTAAATATGATCGGTCTGATTAGGCGAGCGTCTATTACCGATCCCACTGATCGCTTCTCGTGTCCTTTAATGTCGTTGGAATGAAAGTGCCTGTAGGCTTTATCGAGTCGATCCTGCTAAATTGAATGACTGGATTTTTAACGTCCTGCCGTAAACTCCCGACGCAGTTGCAATTCCGCGACAACCGATCTTCCACGGAATTGCATAAGACGGGATCGGATGAAACATATATTAAACGCTAGCAGTATTTTCTGTGTGTTAAATAGAATACGTAAACGTCATATCTAACTAGGTAAGGTATAACTATATTTATGAAACAGATGGATGCTTAGGGCGTGTGGAATTGTCGATGAAAATAAATTTTATTTTTTTTTTATTTCAACTCAAAAACAGTAACGGCTGTCCCGAATGAAAATGAGATTCAGTCAAGGGATTTGCTAAAAATTATTTTTATTTTTATCCCTAATGGCGATTAATGTTTGAGTAGATTTTCCATTAGCTTCATGGGTTATTTAATATGCTGATGGGTTACATTGATTTTTCTCTAATAAGGGTCGAGTTGGGAATTTTTATTAATCGTGGTATATGTTTTGATATTTTTTTTCAAGTTTTTCATTTTTTCGTTAATTATTTGAAAAATCACTCGTGAAATTGACATCGTATGGTTTTAAGTGTCGGTGCTCGTTACGCGATCCAATTTCGAAAATGCCAGTCAATTTTGAAAATAGCGTCCATTTGCCGGCGGATAGGACTTATGTTATCGGGTTGTGGTACGCGGGAGTTACTAAATTAATGGGACGGGTGTTAATTCGAAGGGAGCAGGTGGACAGATTGAGCGCTGGGCTGTACAATTAAAAAATCTATATCCGACTATATGGACTTTCGTGTAATTGTACGTATATAGGTTATATACATTAATACGTATACATTAATAAAATCAAATAATTCTTTCACGCTATTCAGAAGTGATACGACACCATCCGTATAAGACCGTGATATACGTAATTAAGATTGTACCTAATTAATTAGACGCGACCGAAGGAATCAGCGTGGATGATAAATAAACAAATTGACGTGTACCTCATACTCGAATAAACTATTAATATCGAAGATAAATAAATTAATATCAATATAACTGGTCTGAGCCGTCCAATTAAAGTTGCGGGATATTTCTATCTGTCAGAATATATCTCACGCCGTCACTCAGTTTAATCGAGCCTGTCATACAATAGCCAGAGAGATGGGATACAGTTTGCAACGAATATCGACTACGCAGAAGCAATGTACAAAGGCACTGTATTTGTTGAAAAAAAAAAAAAAAAAAAAACCGAATAATAGATTATTAAGAAACCGAAGCGCAGTCACGTCGTAAAAGTAAAAAGTGTCCGGTGGTAGAAGCATCAGGGCCAAGAAGAAGGGGCGCAGGTGGCTATAAGGCCCCGCAGCTATATCGGTTCGAGTATTCACATTGTTTGCCAAGGGAAGCGGCACAAGCAGGCAATAAAGTTAATCATAGGAATCGTCTTTTGGGCCCCACCCGTGCAAAGATTTAGATGTCATTAGGCCGAGGATATCGTTGCTGAAGTCATTCCAAGAGAAAGAAGAAGAAGAAGAAATGCAAGGCGCGCGCGATGTGCCGTTTCAATTTCAAGAGAGCACGTAACGAGGCATGGGACCCCTTGGGTACGGCAGGACGAGGCCCGAGCGAGTAGAAGGCGTTGGTTAGCCTGCCCTGTAATCATGCCCAAAATTATAGGCATTTAGCCGGGCATGAATGAGCGGATAGGAAAGTTTAAGAAGATATCGGTGGCATCGGCGCGTTAGGGGCGCGTGGGCCTGAGTCCCCCTTTTTTTCACGCACCTGCCCGGGCACCGATCGGCCCCAGATTCACCTCCGATATCCGGCCCTTTTTTCTTATATATCTATATGACTCGGGTACCCGCTCGCTCTTCCCTCACGCATACCCGTACACGTGCAAGCGTTAACTCTGCGGGCCCCGAGTCAAGGGGGCCTGATCCACATTAATTCCCCCAATAATAATAACAATACCAGCAACCCGTCCACTCTTGGTGCGCGTCATCAGCTGCGAGTCTTATGCATTACTAAATTACTCCTTAAAAAAAGCACGCACTTACTCGGGGCCCTAGCAGAGTCAACGTCCCTCTACCGCCCTGAACAAGTAATACCATTGGGCCCTTGCCTCTCTCATATCGCAGATCCCAGTCGATCTTTGGGTCCCGTCGCTGATATTACCAGAGAACCAACGATGAGTGCAAAAGCGGTTTGGCAAGATTCGCAAGTAGTCCCGCGAGATTCGTTTCGCGTATCGTATGTCCGTGATCCATCCGTGCCACGTATCAGGCCCAGTATCACTTTCGGACTAGTATACCAAAAATTATCGTACCACTAAAAAAAATTTTCCCCAACCTCATCACGAGCCAGTCTGCAGTACCGTCAACTCCAAAAAAACCCTACGACCCCTCACTCCTTAAACAACCTACACTGTACAAATTTATTCTCCAATCAGTATATAATTTTAAAATTCGACACAAACGAATCAACCCCGTCCGTATACTCCAAGCAAAAAGTATCCGTCCCACGCGACTTGGTCAGAGCCCAAAACCGATTACCTCTAAATTTAAAGATCGCCATTTAATAGCGAGTAACCAGGGGAACCAACCGAGCGCCCCATAAGTATCTACATAAATAAGGAAGCAACTAAAGCACCAGGCGCAGCCATGCCGGTTGGGTGGTTCGTTACTTAGCTAAGCGCACGTATGAGTTTCCCACGGCGGGCCAAGATGCCCTGTGTGGGAATATCCCGATTATTACGCGCGCATAGGCAAACTGCTGGAGCGCGATCGCTTCGACGCCGATTTTTATATTCCACTTGCGTATAGTTATACCAGCCTGTACCCGGCCCCTCTCCCGCGTCTGGGCACCCCGTGCCTCTATGAACCTTCGCTACCACATACGCCATTACCTACTCCCGTGCTTCTTCCTATAGCCTAGCATCGGTAGGCGACTTCCTCGGTAGCAGCCACCGGGCACGTATGCACGCGACATTCAATTCTAATCAGTCCCCGATGGTTTGGCCCACGTTTTTCACGTATGCGGACCCACGTGTGTCACACGTCAAACCAAACTCGTTCGATCGGGCCGATAACCCGAAATCGACTGTACAGCCATTGGATAGCCTGGATGTTTTTTTATTTCAAATTAACCTGTACACTGTTTTCTCTAGTGTCACGTGTCCCGGGTATATATCGACTGGGGAATCTTCAGGAAGTGTCATGTGTGGACAAAAAAGTCAAGGATCCACTATTTTTTTTTTTTTCAGTAGACGACAAACACGTACGGGAAGTAACTGTATCCTGGATGAGGTTATCACGATTCGCGCTGTTAATTAGGCTCGTTGTGATTCTTTGTGAATTAAATTGGGGACGAGATCGAGATATGAAAATATTTTCTGCCTCTTTCATTCCTATACTCAAATTTTGTGCCTGGCTACGCTCACGGGTATGGACAATCTTTACATGACTGTGTCGTAAAATTTGGGGTATTCTTAGGTCTTGGGTTATTTACGAGGGTCGGAAATACTTCTACCGACAATTAGTGGCATTACCGTTGTTACGACGCTTTGCGCAAGGTCCCCAATGGTAAGCGATAGCCAAGAGTCCATACGCAGGTATAAAATAATTTACAGGGTGAAGAACCCCAAAAATTGACGTCCCTGTGCTATACCTACGTAACCTCAACATAAATTTGAAGCGTCGAAAAAAATCGGAAAACGAAGCCGTGAAGTATCGGTGGTAGCGTATATGGCCCAAAGGGCGTCGGGACGCTCGGCTCGACTCCTACAGCTCGGCGTCGGCTGACCGGCAAAGCCTAAGGCAATTAAACGTAGCTTAAGGTAAATTTATTAGACGCGATAACGAATAGGAGGGACACACCTGTGTCCTATTCTATATCCAGTGAGGCGACAGTGTCCGGCCAAGTCGTTTAAACCTGCCTCCACCTTATACCAGATAAAACCATTCCACTTCCGGAGTTGAACTTCGACCGCGCGCGTATACCTATATACACCGTACAAAAGTCTGAAAAGTCTTTCGAGTATCTCTTTAAGTCCTATAGTATACGTACGGTCCTTCCTCCGGTCCCTCTTACTCGGCTGGTTCCAGCTTAGAAAACAGTCAAGAGCCTGACCAGCTTATTATCTACCTAGTATCTAAGAACTCTTGTCCGACGAAACGTCACACCTTTGCTTCTCCCGGATCCGTCAGCTGTGAATTTACTCTTTTTCTCGCTTCTTCCCTCGCCGACGATTTCGTAATTAGCGGGACCGTTTGTTTTGGTCCTTTCGTGGAAACGGCTGATCCGATCGCGGGTGCACGAAATCA